ACCTACGTAGAAAATAGTAATCATTACTTAGTATCATTAATTCTGAGGTTGTTGACAGATATTTCGTCTTTCCTATCTGGTCTTATTCATCATTTATATTACAAAAATAGAAGAATCATAGGCCTCGATTTTACAGATAACAACACTAATTTCAATTAGAATCCTCACAAAAGCAAGCGGTTCAAAATAAAATTTATTAAAGGAATGGTTAAAATTATGAAAAAATTAAAACTGTGAAATACTAAACCCACATATTTTGAACATTATTTAAAGTAACTATGTAAGTCACTATAAATCTTGCGAGTCCGTGCACGTATGTATAGTAATATTGACTACCTATAAACTATAACTACATTATTATTGTATTTATTTTAATTATTTAAATAACTTATTCTATTTATATAAGCTGCTGGTCAAAATTTATTAAATTACATTCTGATACATCTAGATGGTCTTACAGCTACATTAGGTCTGACCTGAACGTATTTAGGAAGTTTCCGAGGTCGCTGAAGTCTCCCAAATACGGCGTTAGCTTCGATCCTAACATGAGATTGCTTCCTGGGTATCATCATTCTAAACGGGAGATTTTTCTCCGTTTTTTCTAACATTTCCTCAGAACGAACGTTTCCAAGGAAACCTTCCATCATTTCCCTCTCGACACGTCGATTGTGATGTCTGGCAGTTCGTCTGAGGTTCCGATCGGAACTACAGACACTCAGCCAGTTTCTCGACACTTGCGCAGCACAAAGTAGAGATTCAGGATCCAACTTACGTAGAATTAACTGTGATACCTCCGGCGGAAGTTCAGAAATGAAATCCACCTTGGTAGGTTCCAACAGTCCAATTACACGTAGGAAAGCTCTGAAGTACTCCATGTTGTCGCTATAAACACAAGGGTCTGAATGATGGACTGTCGAAAAATACGGAGTATATATACCGCTCGTCATGGTTGATTTCACGTTCCGGATCATTAATTCGACCAATCACGTTCGATATAGGATAAACGTTCCACGAGAATGAACTTAAATACAAATAACGCAGAATTGTCGAGATGCTAACAAAAACTTGGCGAAGACAATATTATCTTTGTAAATCAGATACGAGTAGTAACGAAAGTTTCTCTTTAGGGAAGCTCATTTTGTGAAAACTAATTATAATATGGGAAGTGGAATTAGACATTATTTAAATATGCATGTCATTATATTTAAACAATTGTGTTGTTTAACAGGTTGTCTCTGGGTGTCGTTTTATTGGCAGCGACAAAGTTGAAACAGTATGAAAATATAAGTGCCCCGTCATTTTGTCAATATAGATGTCGCAAGCTATTTTTACGTTATTAAAACTGAATGCTTTTTCTAAAAGTAGCATTAATTTGAAGAAATATATTAAATTAAGCAACGATCAAATTAATCACGATTTATGATAACGTTTAACGATTCTAAAGGAATACAAAAATGTTGGAACTCGACCATCGTGGATGAAATCAGGAGTAGGTGACTCTTTGTGTTTCAAAAATACATAATAAACTGTCTATGTGCATTTAATTCTTATATACACACTTGTATAAGAAACATACCATGTTCCAATCTTTCGAATAAAAACGACTAGTCTTGTGAAAATGGACAAACGTAGAAGCAGAACGAATGGGGAAGCAGCATTGGAAAACGAAATACTCTTCTCATGTAACATATTATTCTACTTAGATTAAGCATTGACAGTGGAACGTCAACGTAGGATATTCGCCTCTTTAAAGCTTTCATTTGCTGATAAACGGTTACATAATCTTTAAGTATAATGTAGACTGTTTAAAAATTATCGCTGCAGTTGACCTTAAAGCTGTTATCACGATAACTACAGGATTAACACTAGGTTTACGAGCATTTATCGTGTACGCATCTCCACGGCACGCGTCAACGAACCCTCAGATTTTCTTTAAAAAACAACTTATTTTATATAATACACAATTTATGATCTCTGAAATTAATGCATAGCTATAGAGATAGGTATACCACATAGAGAATTTCGAGGTTAGAAAGCATTTGAAATGCGTCAAAATGACGCGTCCTGTAAACCTAGTGTTAACGAGCCTGAGCGTAAAGTACGACGAATGAAAGAAATTAATACATATGTATAAATAAGGATTCATTGTAGTTTAAACACAAATTCGTAATCCTAGCCTAAGTATATTAAATTTCGAGAAGTCGAAAAGTAAGACATATTTTCAATAAAATTCTCCATACTTTATCATTCGGAAAACGATGCTCAAATTATGTTCAAATGTAGGTAATTTATTTCGGTACAACGAAAGCAGTGACACACAAAACTCGATAAGTTTAACAGTACCTACAGGTGAAGTTTGAATTATGTTCTGTTTCTCATTCCATACTTATTTTTGTGAAGAAATACAGTTAGACACAACTTTCATATAACATTATGTAATACAGATGACAAGGAAATCGATTTCAAAAGTAAAATCTATTAACATACTAATCATAGTTACAACTGTTCGTCTTGGTCGTCAAATCTGTCAAGTCAAGAATACATATTTGACTATATTTCCAAATCACTATAATTTACCAAAATTAATTAAAATGCTTGCTATGGCAAGTATGGTACAATAACACTTTTTATTAAACTGCACTTTGATACGTCTGGTACGTCTTACTGCTGAGGCATTCACCTGAGTGCAGTTTGGAATTCTCCGCAACACAGTATTCAACCTCGGCCCTCATATGCGACAGAATTTCGCACCCATGCAGTATTCAGTATCTTCCTCCGGACTTCCATCTAACGGTTAACAATGGCTTATTCAAGAAAATTGTTCAACATTTTTCGACGATGGTGGAAGTGATATCATGGAGCCTGAAATTGTTTCCATTCAGAACGTTGAGTCCTCCAATATTCAGGCCCGTCAGCGAAAGCATATTGCAGTTCGAGTCTTTAAGAATAAACTTAATCCTATTTTAAGCCCTCAGCTGCGATTTGCACCGATTTAAATTTACATTCTTCACATGATTGTGCATATTTAAAATCTTATACACCGCGAACGAAACTTAATAAAAATCGTTCTGTCATTATTTGTTTTGTATATTTTTAGGTTATACTTGAATTTGTCCTATTTGCAAATTTTAGTCGACGTAAACATTGTGATGTACTTCTACTCTTTACCACATGTATAACATATCATAGATACACTCTCACTCATAAGTATTAGGACACTTATCGAAAATTCATAAAATTACAAGCCATAAAGAAATAGATGAACATTTGAAATGAATTCTGTTTAGAGTAGATTAAAGGCCAAAGGAAAATGCTAATGCTACTATGCAGTAATAAACGTCGCGTAAAACATTTTTACAAGGTGTTACATCTTCTTCATACAGAGGAGGGTTCCTGGAACTAATGAGCATTATTACGACACTAAAACACTTCAATTTGTTCAGAAAATACTTGATGACAAAAACATATACGCACAATAGGATGGAATGATAGTAACTATTGAGGAAGCGTCTAAATTCTGAACGCAACTGAGGCTTCAGTTAAATGTGTCAATCAGTATACAATGCCTAGAAACTTCAAACTGTAATCTGATATATCTAACCTGACATGAAGGAAGATACGCATGTTACCCTAAATATTTAGTCATGAGCAGTGTTTACAACTATACATTGTCCCTTAATATTAAAAGAATGGATAAAATTATGAAAAAATAAAAACTAAGTAATATTATCTTAATAAATTTATAATATTATTTAAGTAAACAATATAACCATTATATATTCTGCACGTTCGTGCATGTATAGTAGAGTAATATTCGTTATATAAAAATATATTTAATTGCTGTAATTATAAAATGTTCATAAGCTACTCATAAAAATTTATTAAATTACATTCTAATACATCTAGATGATCTTATAGCTACATTGGATCTCGCCTGAACCCATTTTGGTGGCGTCCCATAACGTGGGACTTTTCCGAACATGGTGTCTGCTTTATACCTAGCATGAGCTATATATGCTATAATTCTCTGTGCCTGAACAGGTTTTGGATGTTTTCTATGGATTTCCATCCTCACCTGTCCAGACTGCGCGGGACCGAGGAAATCTCTCATTCGCGGTTCGAAACGTTTCTTATGATGCGTGGCCGTTCGTCTTAGGTTTTTGTCAGACCTGCAGACATTCGACCAGCTTCTTGACACCTGCATAGCACACACTAGAGATTTAGGATCCAACTTACCTAGAATTAATTGCGATACCTCGGGTGGAAGATCTGAAATGAAATCCACTTTTGCAGGTTCGAGCAATCCAATTACACGAAGGAAGGATCTGAAGTACTCCATGTTGTCGCTGTGAATACAGAGATTCGAATGGTGCATCTTCGAAGATTCGGAGGATATATTCGCCTTGTCACGCTTGGGTACATGTTCCGGATCGGTGATTCCACCAATCACGTACGATCAGGTGGTTTATGATTTCTCCACTTTTTTCTACTTAGAGATTTGTACCTTTTCATTAGTGTTTTTATTCATTTGTAGACTTATACTAATGTTTCGTTTCAATAGTGAAATTTCATTTCAATTAGGGACAAACTGTTCATTTATAGTTTTACCCTACACAAGAGTATACGTATATTCAACGCAATCATTTTGGTCAGTTGTTGCTTAAATGTAAATTCTTATTAATATTATTAGTAAAAAGAAAATTGAATCGTAGGTTTTACAATTGAGATATTATTTTTCTTCTTAGTAATTAAAGCAACAACAATACCTTTATTAGATGCTAAATTGCAATGACACTAGGAAATTAATTTTTATACTGTTTAATTAGTTCTGTTCGGGTCTGGATATTGTCATTTTTGGAAAATAAACTTAATTCGATAATACGGCCAAAGAAGGGAATCAAATGAGAGGAAGTCAAATAAATGAAATGATGATAGCGTAACAGAATTTGTACGCCGTCAGGCAAACTTATTAAGAGAAAGGAAATATGGACATGAAAAATTCATTTCTCTGAATGAGTTCCGTTTTTGGGCTCGACTGAGTCTGTCTGACCCAACATACGATACTCTTTTAATCGGAGCAATGTTTTCGATAGCCGCTCATTCTGCCTTGTAAGCACTTCTATTTTTTCACGATTCGTTATTAATTGTTGCGACATGTCCGCAATAGGATCCATTTCTTTCCCTTTGAAGGCCTTGCAAGAATTATTATCATTGATATTCTTCATCTTCTCAGCATCTTTTTGATTTTCCATCGTCATACGCAGCACCTCGATCTCTTGTTGCAGTTTTCCGACTTCCCTTTTATGTTCCTCCTTCAACTGAGAAAAATGTTACAGAATATTTCTCTAATTTTATACGTAAGATGCTCAATAATTAATTACTGATAATTAATTACTATAATTGAAAAACAAGGTTTTTGCTTGCTGCAACTACAATTCTCGTTCACATGCTAGAAATACATATTTGAAATGAAATAAATCCGATATCTGCTTGTTTTCTTTCTATAACATGTGGTTCAAGAAAGTATTAATCCACTAATTTAACGCCACCCGTTGCATAGAAAATGTTTTTCTCGGTAATGAAGTGAAACAGATCCATAGTATGTGTCATACTTTTTATTCAGAATGGCTTGTTGAATAGCTGATCAATTTTTGTTGAACAAATTTCATACGTAATTTCGTGGTTCGGAAACAAAGTTACAACGTTATAATAACACCATGAACAATCTCAAGAACCAACGTTAGTGTCGACAAGGAATAGATGAAAGAAATTGATGAGGTTTTGTCTACACGGCAGAAAACTTTCCAGTTTTTGAAGCCACACAGAGAACCAGAAAGTTTCTAAAGGTAAGCAACCTCATATGTTAGAACTGCGGCCCACGTCGAGTTAAGTCGATTTACACTATTCCCATGCGTATGCCTCTGAAAGTTCTCGCAGCTATTGAAAACTTACAATACATCCCCAGGTGAAAGAAATTGAACAATTAACTCGGCGACTCTCTACTGGGGAAACGTAACATGGTCTATGTGGTAAGTTCCTACTCTTATCAATTTTTCTTTAAATTTGTATTCTGTATATGTTATTGTGCAGTACAAAAGAACACATTAAATATCTTCTTTCTTTTAATAATTTTTTCATGAGAAGTGTTTAACCCTCTTAAGACGGTTTTTTTTAACGATGAACTTATTACAATATTATGGGCTACAATACACCCGAATGTTAAAAAACGAAATAGATTGGACCTACTTTTAAAAATGGGATATACAGCCCTATTAGTCCTTTGCAATGGGATAATGTGTCCCAATAGGTCTCATTGTTAGTGATGACAGAAAAAATTATAACAAGCTAAGAAATAAGTTTGTTTACTAAAATGTCTTACAAAATGATTAACAAAGGCAACCGCTTGACAGGACAGGGTTGTTCGTTATAATATGAACAGTAGGAGTGTAAAATATTTAATGCAAAGTCCAACTCTACAGTTTGAACATACAGTTCTGAATCCATTTTTCTACTTTGACTGCTGAACATCCAATACACCATTTTCTATAATAAAAACTAAAAGGTGCATTTAGGTACATATTGTATTTACTGAGGAAAATGTCCCTAAGAGTATCTTAACTTTTTCGGCCGTCAATGTAGATTGACACCTTAACAATACTTTAAGGGTATGAAATACCTCACCCCTTCGAGTTGATTCAGTATAGAAATTCCACCTGCCTTACAAGTGGAATCAGTTGTTCATTCCGGATACAACGTTTTCAATAATTGCCGATAGCGGACGATCGTAAATTCACCTGAATTCGCATAAGTTAATTTAATCGGGTAGCGTGTTAATTCATGAGGCCACGATCGCTCGTACATAGAAGCGATAGCTTAAACACCAGGTAATTTCTATCGTCGGTGCATCGTTAACACGCTGTTCGGAGCAGCTAGTTAATTCCTTTAATTAATCATCGGCCAGGTGGAGCAAATAGGTAAAACGAATGCGCGGATGGGTCTTGGGTAAATTAAGTTGTCTAGACCGACAGTGACTCCAACTGTATTATTGATTCAGATAATATTTCTGCCAATTTCGTTTGTTTGATCTAAGTAACTAGGATCAACAAAATCAATCTCAAATATAAAAGTTTTAGATCTGTGCACATTCTTCTTTCTGTAGATTCAGTCTCTTATATTACTAGCATACAGTCCCATTCCTACGTATTGAGTCATTTGTCGAATGTGACGTAAATATAACAAGGCATTGCAAAATTACTGAAGATCGAAAATAAATATTGTTTAGAAGATACTGAATTATTACTAATATAAGGTAGTAGGTGGCACGGGGTATGTAATTTCTTTGAAATGTCATATTTTCTTCTTACAGAAGAGATGTACATATACTAACACTTATGAACGGCAATGTGTGTGTGTGTGTGTGTATTTGTTATTCTGCTTCAGCGCAAATATGTGACGTATCAAGCGAAATAAAAATTGGAAGAATATTCACATACCCGGGTACCCATTTCTAAATTTCCTTTCACAATTTTTTATGTTCTTGTCTAAAACAGCACTTGGTATATTATAGGAAGGGAAAATTAAGAGTTTCGGAGAAGTATGAAAGTAAAATTATCTATGTTTATCAACATAGTGTTATACATGTTATACATGTTATAACCGTGAATATTTTGGTTGCCCGCACAAGGGTTAAACCGTCAAAACGTGATAGTAATATAACTTAAAACATTTTACAGATTTGCAGTTTCTGAAAGCTTAAGAATATTATTTACAAAATAATTGCATATTAATCAGGAATCAAATTCATTGTCTCTATAAAATAATTTCAAAAAATAGAAGAGATTTTAAAGTTCTGTTGGCTCTAAGTGGTTTAATTGTTTGAACACCTTCAAATCGTAGGAGATCTCCAGGAAATCTATAACAACTATTATAATCTCGACGCCATTCGGTCCACAGTGATTTGCTTACAACGGCTATTTTGATGTTACACCGCAAGGTTTGGCATGTACTGGCAAATTTGATGTGTACAATTACTAATTAATTCCTACAAAGACAATTATTTCACCTTTATACCATCCCATTTTGTTCTCCTTCCATGGTTTTTAAGCTATGACAGGTAGTAGATGCAATAGTTGAATTAAAACGTTGCACTACAGTAAATCCTCGATGAGTGTTTGAAAGCTTCTCGGCACTTACAAGGAGAGGTCCCCATGTGTAACACTGACTTTTTAATAAACTTGACCACAGATAGAGTTTAGAATTATGAAGTCAATATTGTTTCAACCGCATATAGCTATTAGTTAAGGAAATATTTAAGGTTCAATGCCGAGGAGCCTTCGAATACTCATCGAGGATTTATTATATTTACTTCAAACTCGCCTAAAATTTTTCTCGCCTAAATAATTCTTTTATGTAACATTTGTGACTCGATCTGTGGTACGACAATCAGTGTTTGAACTTGTCAAAGTTTTGTTAATCGACACTATATTGTAATAACTACCGCCTGACAAGTCTAAATAATTAAGGAGATTGCATAATTCATATCGTTTCTTCTGAATTTACCAACAATGGAAGTGTCTATTCGTACAATTTGCCTTGCAATATGAGAAATCGTAGCCGGACATTTTACACGGATGCAAGATGAACTCACCGAATCGTTTTCCTTCCTCGTTTCGTCGAGGAGCATTTGGAAACGTCGTTCTGTCTCGAGGTACGCATCACGGGTGTCGACGGCTTCCTTTCGAAGTCTGATCACGGTCTTCTCCAGTTCCAATTTGCTCTCGGCCAGCGTACCGGTCTGACTTTGCAAAATGTTATTTCCGTCTGCTGCAACGAACGTCCGAAGATAAGGTCATTTTGATTGTAGGGTCTTCGACTCCCACTTGCCTCTATCGTGTGTAACGCGTCTTGCATGGTTCCATGTGAAAATTTCGCACTTTAGTGAAGGAATGATTACTCTGATACGAAGTATAATAATAATAGTAAGAATAATAATAATAATAACAGCAATGCGTTTACTGCACAATAGAAATAATAAATGTACAATGAAAAAGAAAACAAAAAAAGAGATCAAATTAATTTTAGTGCAAGGGAAGTTTAACTTTCATTTATTTCTTTTTTAAATGTTCGTTTGCTTACTCAGAAGCACTACCAGTTTACGTGTAGATTCTAGGGTCCGTTCCAGTTCTTCGTTTTCGCGGTTTCGAGTAATGTTCTCTTCGTTCGTCCTTTCAAGCTCCTCGTTCACTGTAAATCAATATGTGAACTAAATAAATACTCGATTCGTTGAGAATATAATGCATCTTCGGATTCTTTACCAGAAAGTTGTAAAAGCTTGTAAAAATAAATCATTAATGTAAAAAACATGTTAATTTTATACATAATATAGTACTGTTCAAATATTTGTAACTCTTATGGATTTGAAGTTTAGCTTACTTATAATTTAAAAAAAAAACTATGAATTGATATCTGATCACAGGATGAAACACATTGGCAACACTGAGTGTATGAAATGTTATATAATATGATTATAATAATTTAGTATTGCTCACGTTTTTGACAGTGTATTATTTTTAAAAGTGGTATACTTCTATTAGCGATTAAAAAGAAACACTGTTTTACTCTGAGAATATTTATAAAACTGTTCACCCAATAAAAATAAATAAGTATGGAGTCTTAAAAGCATCAAAAAAGCTTATTAGCGTTCATCGATACTTTTGAATTTATTAAATTGGAAAACACTAAACATCTAGAAATAAAGGAAAGTGATATCCTAACATTTCAAAAAGAAAAGCGACCCATATGGATCGAGTGTCACATTATTATTATGCGAATACCTTTGTTCCTCGCTTAATACACTTTCGCAATATATCCCCGTGTTCCACGGCAAAAGAGACAAAAGAACGACAGGCCGATCGAACCATAGCATCCCCGTCCATCGACTATCTGTTAGCCGGACATTCATAAATCGTACCCCATCGATTACAAGTCACATCTGCCAAACTCACGGGCAACGGTGGCTACGGCTCGCGGATAAAAATTTCTCAGTCGAATTTCCCGCCCGTTGTTTGACCGCGATCGTTCCCATATGTACGTTCCACTCGAGCCGACGTTATGTATCGATTTGCTTAACCCGAAACTTCATACCTACCACCGGTGCGACGGGAGTTTCCAACCAAGTCCCCGAGCTCTTTAAGGTTTGATCGATAAAGAAAGTTCCGTCACGGAACAGTCGGTCACGATTCAAGCTATTAAAAGCATGGAAGAGAAAGCGAAGAGGAAAAGTAACCCTAGAAGAGTAAAGAGAAGAGGATGATGGTGGAAGATGAAAGAAAAGGGTAAGAATGAATCGGGATGCCGTCGCGATGGTGATGGACAGCTCTCAGAAAGGAATAACCACGCCAGGAAACCTGCCAGTTTCTAGTGCGTCCTCCAGTTCGGAGTTTTTCGCCTGCAAAGCGTCCGTCCGTTTCTCTTGTCGCGTCAAGCCAGCCCGCAGATCTCGAATCGCCTCCTCGTGGTGTTGTCTAGTGGCTTCTGTTTTCAGATTGCACTCCCGCATACTCGCCAAAGCTGTTCCAACATCCGTCTCTATGCCTTTTGTCAGTCTGCTCATCACGGCCCATTGGGTCCTTTCGTAAATATCTTCGCGGGATTTGTCCCTGCGCGGAAAACCCTGACTTTTATCGAAAATCAGAAAAAGTGAAATTTTACTATGATGTCTATATATTCAGACATAAAAGCTGGAATATTGGACATTTCGGATTCAGAACGTATTTTTTCCAGACTAGAATGAAAATACAGTGCCTATACACTATCGCTCATAAGTATTGAGGCACCTGATCTGTATGAAGAAAACGTCACGCTTCGTGAAAATCATACATTTGTGGTGGACGAACTGTGCGTAATGGATGATGAGCGAAGTGTACGATTGGCCGTAAACGCGTAAAGACAAGATATAAGACGTTTAAGAAGTCAGAAGACGAAGTATTAATCGTAATTAGTTTACAAGTTTTATAGATTACAGGCTGAGGCACATAACTTGATCACCTAAAATAACTTCTATACAAAGCGTTCTTTAGAAAACTATTTCTACAGATGTTATATGGTAGCAAGGGGGACATTATGTGGTGTACATGACTCCTCTTAGAGAGAGCGTAAGGTAGAGGCGTTTAGGAAATTTGAAGGTCGACTTTGTTTTTTTTTTAAATGGAATGCCATTCCTTTTTTACAACAGTTCGAAAGAACATTAATTTCCAAATAAAAAAGTATTAAAGATTGTCTGTCCTAATGTTAATAATTAACGAGGTATTAAGAAAAGTTTGATCCTAATGTCAGCGAGTGATTCGCGAAGACGACGGTGTTTATCTGATAATGTTTATCAACAAATCAAGTGCTCTTACTTCAATGTTGTCGTCTACAATGTCCGTGATAGAATTGCTGATACATAAGGTGCAATAAGATCAATAAGGGCTAAAATTATTAATGTTGAATATTTTAATCTTTATCAAGTATTTTATATTAGATACTCAGAATGGTTTCCGTTAACACGAATACAGTAATTTGGGAGAACAGGCACCATTTTGAGCATCTACTATAAAATGCTTGATAAAGATTAAAATGGTCAACATAAACAATTTTTTTTCAGGGACATCGTGGACTACAGCATTGAAGTAAGAGTACGTGACATGTCGATAATCATTATCAGATAAACACCGTCGACTACACGAATCACTCTCTGACATTAGGATCAAACTTTTCTTAATATCTCGTTAATTATTAACATTCGGACAGACAATCTTTAATACTTTTTTACTTGGAAATTAATACTCTTTCGAACTGCCGTAAAAAAGATAGGGCATTCCATTTAAAAAAACAAAGTTGAGTTTCAAATCTCCTGAACGTCTCTACTTATGAAGGAGTCACATGATGTCCTCCTTGATACCATGTAACGTCTGTAGAAATAATTCTCTATACAACGCATCATTTTGAAGTTATTCGAGCTAATCAAGTTACGTGCCTCACCCTGTATACATGTACATATGTATCCTCAACCATATCTTTATCATACAGGATTAATCATATTTAGTTAATAAATGTTATATAAATATACTATATTCATATCAACAATCATTTATTTATCCAACATACTTAAAGCCACGTTTGTTACTTCAAAGTAGCATAAGCGTTCCCCATCGAGCTTTAGTATTCCCTAAACGATATTTCTTTTAGAATTTCAACAATTTCTCGATGCCTTGTAACACTTACTGTATATTCAACAAGTGTCCTAATATTTATGAGCGGGAGTGTACATAGGAAATTGTATGATAGGTTTAGATGGTCTATGGAGTTCCTCCCTTCCTATATTATGTTGCATTATTGGCTGAAATTCTAAACCACGAATAATATTGAACAATCCTGCTAATTCTGGCACTGTTTTTTTTGTTTCTCTACTATTACTAATATATCTTAGAATTAGTGGTCATAGTCTTCCTTGATTGAGCTATACCTTTTTAAGTGTGCACTTTTCACCCTGTATTATACAAATTATTTCAAACATTGATTATACGATAACTAATTGAAACGAAAATGCATTGAAGTTTATAAAAACAGTGTTGAATATAATTTCAATAAAGTAATTCTCATTAATTTTAATTAATCCAATTGTTCATTACTCGTGTGAGAAGTTCTTATCCGTTATTAATAATTTCTTATTCACGTTTACTACCTAGAAAGAGAATTAGTTATTATACTAATGTTATTGTATATATTATAAAGTTTAGAAAAATATCCAACCATAAAAAAATATTCAGTAGTTACAGTACATCAATATCGTCATCTCCACCAATAAAAATACTATTTACTTTTGCCAGAATAACAAGTATTTCAAAATAAAAAAGACTTTCTAATGATATTATCGAGAAAAGAGACGTAAATAACACAATTTAATTAATTCTTATCACTACGATTTATTAATATTTGCCTTTGCTTGAAGAAGATAAAAAATATAAAGGATGTTTGCATTATACACATAAAATAGGAATCGTAATCTACTAAATATTATATATTGTTTTCGTCCTATCTTTCAGAATTTTTTTCGTTATTTATGCATCAAACATTTATTTGAATAATGCATGATCATTGATCAAAAAAACTTCACTCGTACAAGATACTTTATACGCAGACGAAATAAATTATTTATTATTTTTAAATAGCAATTACATTGTCGTCACTTTTCATTCACTTTTCATAAAGTTGTAACGCATGCGTGCTTCGGTGTGATTGAGATGTAACAAACTGGGAATTGAAGTTTTAAACGCTAATTGCTAACACGTATGAATTGAAACTTTCAGAAGAGTGAATGACAATTTTGGCTTCTCTCAGCAACCACGATGTATCTATTTGTTTCAAGTAGACCTACAGTTCAAATACATCCTACGTATGCATGTGTGTATATACCTTTCTGTAACAGCGGCGGAAATTAATTTGTTCTCGGTGAACACTCGCTCGAGTGCGTTTATCGCTTGGAGGACAGCCTCGCCAGCTAGCGTACAGCTCTCGCAATAGTTCATGCTGGTCTCTGCTTGAGAACTTCGGGACACTTTGTGCGTGGAGCAATTCCGTGACTTTTCATCCTCTCTATCCTTCACCTGTTGACGCGCCGCTATTTTTCGGGAGCTCCCTCCGGTCGGGAAAGAAATGTTTACGTTCATGCTGTCACACGCACGATTTCAGAATCCCGTGCACGTCATTTTTCCGCCCTTTTTCTCTCATTTCGCACTTTCCCCATCCCCTCGTATGTTCGACTGTTTATCTCCCAATATTCACACTTCGCCTTATCGCTTCATCTTTACGTTTTCAATACTATATGTATATCCTACACGTTACTCGATTTCAACGTTTCTCTGGCGTTCCTTGTACAATAACTCACTTTAAATATCCGCCCATTCCATACGTATAGCAAATTTTAAGTATTCAATTAATGGATATACCGCCTTATAAACCTAAAATAATAGGTAGATTTGACATTCTTTTGTGAAGTAATTATTGTGTAAAATATTTCGATCATTTTAAGGAACCTTGGGCAACAATTTAACTTTATTTTCATACATTAGTTATTATTAAAGTTACGAAATGGCCGAGGTATACGACATTGTTTACCGTCATGCCTGGTAGGGTACTGTCAGCTAGCATCCAGCAGATCATCGAAGTTATTCATTCGATTAACTTCAAATTTTGACACATTATCTTTATAAAATGATCTACGATGTAGCGTACGATTTTTTTGATATCTTAATTAGTTACATTTTTGTGAAATTTCAAAATTGATATTTTTCAGTGTAAAAGATTTTTTTTCCAATAAACCTGTCACGTCCTCATTTGTTAAAATAAATTAAAAAATAATTCGCCCAAATTTTAAGTTAATCGGATGAATAGTTTCGGACATCTGTTGAGTGCCTGCTGACAATATCTTGCCAGACATGAAGGTAGACAATGCTGTATAACTCTGCCATTTGTTAATTTTAAACAATAACCAGTATATGAAACAAAAGTTAAAATGTTGCCTATCATCCTTTAAAAAGATTGCACTATTTTAACCAATAATCACCGCAGAAAAAAATGTCAAATTCACCTGTTCTTTTAGTTTATAGTAAATTCACCTACAAGATGGTGTACTTCTACGGAATGAAGAGTAATTATTTATGCAGTATGAAAATTGATTAATACATTCTAAATTCGGATGTTTCCAACTGAGAAATTATATACAGATCACCTCACAAAGTATAATTAACTCTGAAAGTAGCAAAAAACGCACACATCAAATTTCATAAAAACCTGACTTAGTCTATGCTGAACAAATTAAAGCTTTCACTAAATAAACAAATGACTCGCGAGATTATCTGATCAAGTATTAGTCTACTGTAAATAAATTTGTTTAAAATAAATGTTGATTTGGGTGGATACCTTTGTACACACTTTTTCATTACTCGCACTAACAATAATACCTTTTTAATTAAACTACTACATGTATAATTTCTCAATTGAATGCATCGTCATTAACTTCAACGTCGATTACGTATGTAAAATTTGTTTTAAGAATGAGACGGGCAAATGCTTCTGTGAGGAACAGTATGTAGAATGTCAATTAATTAGTGGAAAGGTCTGTCGAGATAGGATAAACTTTGGTGTAGATATTTCCAAATATTAAAATCAAACAGAAATTTTTTACATTATTTTAACATTGACTAATGTAAAACAGTTTGTCTCATGTATACAGAATTCGTTTCATAAAGTAATAATAAAATCGCGTAAAAATGCGAACACAATATCTATCTGTTTTTAATTGACATATATCGATTACAATTAATGAATCATTACCTAGTATTTGTTAATTATTATTACTGTTATCAATGCAGTTACAGATCGACTTATTCCAAATATACTTGCTCCATTATTCAGAATTTCATTGTACGCTAGTTCGTATTACGAATACAGGTTATCGAAAAAATGTATGACTCTATGGTATTGGAAATTAATTAACAAGGCTGCATGGGATTTGTGAATTCTATCAAAAGCGGCCACAAGGGATTCCAGTCGTGTGTCAAGCGTTACAAAGAGAATTTCTTAGGTGGCATAGTTCGAGACTTAATTTGCCTGGGCGCCATGGAAGCGTTTTGTAATTAGCGTAACTTCGTTCTACAGCCATGTCAACTTCCCCGTATAAAGCCAAGTTTACCAAAGTTAACTTCAACTTCTTTCACAGGATTAATCTTTTCATTAACAGTTTTCTCCCTGTTTTAAACGATTTCGAAACTTCACTTGCTATAAGAACGCCCACCTTGTTGATCACGTTAATCTATGGAATTTTTTTATAAAAAGTGATTCTAAACTATGCACGCGCAATTTACAAGCGTATTAATCACCACGAATTTATAACAAATATATAATAAAATAATCACTTTCATCTAACTTTTAACACTTTGATCGCTATGTTACCCATATACAGGTGACACAATTTTTTGGTTTCCAATTCACAATTAATCTTCATAGGAGGATACCGAATGAAACATTTCTTAATCAGAGATTTGCTGACCAATTAAAAATTTCTTTTGATTGGTATGCAATGAACAGGAACATGAACAAGTTCCAATATAATAGTGGAGCACCACGCGGTACACGCCAGTATCAGTGTGACATTCGATCCCCTGATGAAGCTGGCTGTAATGATTGCCAAAAGCGTTGGGAAAATAATTCCACCAGGACACAGGTTACACCCGAAAGTCTCAGCATTAATAACTGTATGAAACAAATTCTGTGATAGTCTATGCAATTCAATAAAGTTGAAAGAATAGATAGGTACCCACTCTGAGAAATCTTGATTTACAAGCAGTTGTATCATTAAAAGAATTGCTTTTACCTTGTGGACTTCTCATGGGCGTTACTTTAGCACTCAACGTGTAAAAGTAATTATTTATTTAATTTGATAATGCATGACTACCTTTAATCTTGCTTCTTTAAATCTTTAATTTTTTTGTTCTCTAAATCGGCTTGACGCTGATTTCATTTAAAAATCACTATTCAATTATTTGAGATTATGCATTATATCCGGCAAATTTTTGAAAATTTGTAATATAAAACATGTCATAAACTTTCAGTAATTTCAAATCAAATTTCTATGCGAAAATCAAATATTTAATAATATTTCTTTCGTTACAAAAGTTATGGTTATCTCAAAAACAATTGTTATCGTTAAAAGTAACGTAATAGTAAATACTACCATAATTTTGGTAAATCAGTTTACAATCACCCGAGGAAAAAAGTATTCTGTTACGTAATCGTTTCAAAATATACATTTACTCACCAGGTGACGGGAAATCGAATCGGGCATAGTTTTCAGGCGATCCCAGACAAGTCGCAGCAGACTGGCTAACGATATCTGACTCGATCGATTGACGCAAGTTACTTCTTTGAAGAGATCATCCACAGAAGGATACTTGTCCATGAACTCTACTATCAATCGTAGAACGAATTGCACTCTGCGAATTCCAGTGGAATAAACTTCATTCATAGCCAGATACTTCGGTTTTAATATTATTTGTCTAATATTATTCTGATACAGATACTTCGAAATTAATAGAAACCCGGAGACAAATATAATAACTTAAGTTGTGTTCGTCTAATAAGTACAGAGATTTTCGGTAATTCGAAAATTCCGAATTTTTTTAAACGTCGCAGATTTGTAGGGGACCTTAATAAAAGTGTCATTCAATTTTTTTCAATTCCGACTTTTTGGTTATTCAACGCGAAAACACCTCATAAAGGTTAATGAGTGTTTCCCTATGTCCCTGCCTATCCTGAAAACTACACGTAGGACATATAATAAAATTGTTAAAATAAAAATTTTCATTGTATTTTATGTTGTACAAAGCTGCGCAATAAAACTGTTAAAAATTTGTTCTTACACTAATTAAACAATTAATAATTAATAATTAATAATTTGTTGTTACAGTAATAAATAAACAAATTTTTAACACTCTCCTTACACAGTTTTATAGAGCATAAAATGCTATTTTTTCATTGTAACAATTCCTTCATGTCTATTATAGTATTCAAGATATACAGGGAAACAGGAAATATTTACATACAAAGTTCTTCATCCTGAAGAACCAAATGTGGTAAAAAGAAAAAATTGCTAGCGAATTCTAGTGAAATCCCCTAAAAACTGCAAAGTTTAACATTGTGACGAACGGAACGAACGAAATCCAAAACCGGACAACGAAACATTTTCGGTTTACTGAAGGTCCCTTGCTAAAAGGACGGAAATTGTGGCTAAAACAACCTCGGAGAAGAGTGTGCAGGTGCCATTTCGATGAGAAGCAGTTAGCGCTACTGAAATAGGTCACTGGAGATATAGTCGAAGAGATGATGTTTTAAAAATGAAGCGCTACTTGCTTTCACTCTAGCGATTCTTATTACTAACAAATAAATAACTGTGTGATACATTTCAAGCAAGATGAAAAAAAAATAAAAATTTAATGCTATACACGATACCTCCTTTTTCTCCGAAAGTAATTTCCTCAAGAATGGCACGCTTGAGGATTCTTTTTTCGAATTTCGACAAAAGGTGGGAAGGAAGGAAATTGCACACTACTGGGTTGTAAACACGATTATCACTCGGGAAAAAAATCGAACAAAGCACCTTTGCCATTGAAAGATTTGCCACGTGTTATAAATTAACCTGCATAGATCAAAGAAATAGAGTACAGTACAACCTCAATTATCGGAACTAATAGGCAGGCAAATGTGTTCGGGTAATAGAATTTTTGGACGATAGAACGACAACTTTTATCGTGTGAAAGATTTAATTAAAAAGAAAGATTTCATGAATATCTTAAGCATTATGATAAAAATGAACAAAGAATGGGCGTGTTATAAAAAATTTTTTCATTTTACGTTCCCTATTTTTGATCCCATTGATCGTAGCTTTCCCAACACCATATTTTGCTGTTAACTCTGTCCCATTGCCACCACTTTTGAATCTTTTATGAATGATTCGATGCGTTGTTTTAACTGATAACACCACAAGTTACGGTTCTGAAGACATTATAACAGCGCTGTGTTCATGTGGAATGTAATTGTCATACTGAATTATCGTGTAGATGTGCCTAAGCGTAGCTAACTAGATTATCACTTGGTGGGGGGGGGGGCAAAA